TGGAATACTAAAAAAAACAAAAAAAAATTTTGAGGGGGGTGCCCAAAGAAAAAACTTTTTTTTTTCGCGAACTCCGATCGCAAAGTTTTTTTATTAGAAACTCATCATTTGGGCCCAATATCATCCTCCTTAAGTTTCATCTGGGTCCCATGCTCTGAAGTTGAGATCCAACATACCCAAAAATCCTGGCTACGTGCCTGTATGTTACACTCAAATTTTTTGCTTATTGCTGTTTTGCTAAACGGTATTTCTGTAATAGATCTTCCGACAGGTAGATACCCAGAAACTTAGGATTTAGCGTATATGGTTGGCAGTGACTTTTGATGTGGAAAATAAGTGTTGGAAGTAGAGTCCTGCATGAGGCTCGAGCTGACTTGTTTTGAGCCCGATCTCCGTTCCTTACGGCTGAATCCCGTTCCGAACTCGAAAAAGCTTTTCGGAATAGGTTAAACTCGTAAGACTCTGGATGAAGACAAAATTACTCAGCAACATTCAGCAAAAACTCAACAACACTTAGCAAAGAATTTCCAACTACATGGTCATTAGCTCGTGAAATATTCGCCATATTAACCTCAAACATGAAGATCGAGTGCCTAGTCTCTTCTTCGAAAAACACAATTACTCGAGCACAATCGAGAACAGGCAAAATTAACAAATTAATATTTCTTAGAAAAACTTTTTCTTCATTAAAACGTTTTGGTAAACGAGTATCGATGGATAAAAATAATGATAAGCGAAAACAGTTAGATAGAGATAATGATCATAACCCTAGCGAATGTACTTGTGCTCAAGTACTTGTCCAAACACTTCACTGACTCAATGTAAGTAAAATTACTTGAAAAAATTCCAGCAAGGTACTTGCTCCCCTTAATCTTTATTTTGTATTTTGTACATATTCTGCAGTAATAACGCTACTTTTGTAGAGTAACGGGTTATGCAGAAGTTTTGCAACAAATGTCGAGCGCTGTTTCTCTATGCTCTTATTGTTCTAGAGATTTTGCTTTCTTTTTGTTTGAAAGAGTAAAGCCTAAACTATAAAAAGTGTAGTACAGATCAAGTGTAGTACAAATCAAATACAATTTTTTCTCACCAAACTTCATTGAGAAACAATTCAAAAACTATACATCACTAAAAATAGTCTGGTTAAATTTTACTAAAGCATATCAAGAAACGTTTTTCACTAATGTCAAAAATAATAACTTTTTGCTGAAACCAAATACACGAAAAAATAGCCCGTGAAAAATTGTATGGATTTGATCTACTTAAGAATTTTCAAGTTACTTTTTTGTGGTTTTCTGAAACGCTTCCTAAAAGTCAGATTTTCTGAAAATAGAGATTTTGCGTGTAACAATTGGGGACTTCAGCAAAAGCGTCAGATAAAATACGAAGTGAATGAGATTAGTTTTTGTTGTATATCAGATTGTAGAAAATTGAATGAAGATCATTTTACAGTTCAAAAACTGGAAAAAAGTTCATCTTTTAATTCAAGAATTGGTAATTAACGCTAATAAACTGATTTTCTAACGGTCCTCAAATAAACGATTATTTCTTCACAGAAACTGAATAAAAGGAAAATGTATTGCACACCATTCGAAAGCGCGTTTCAAATACTCTCAGATGTAATAAACAGTCATCTTTCAAGCTTATCCTTAAACCAGAAAGAACCGCTCCGAAGTAGAGAGCGGACATTTTGACGATTTACCAGTACATGTTTAGTGATGTTTAATTTTTAAATTTTTTTCAATGAGGCCTTGCGAGCGATATTTTATTTAATATGCGTTTTGTAGTTCAGACTTTGCTCTTTCAAACAAAAAGAAAGTGCAGGCTCCAGAATAGTAGCCTAGAGAAACAGCGCTCGACATTTGTGGCAAAACTTATGCATATCCCGTTATAGGTACCAAGTTTGTTCAACTAGTAGATAAATATCTAAGTTTCTGCCAATTAATATTGTGACGCTTCTATATAACTGGTCAACGTAGAACAAAAGAGTGATTGACTCGTGCATGTACTTGGCTGAAGCGAACCAAGTGACAAGACTTGGCGAGGATTTAGATACCTTGAGCAGTAAAACACTTGCCAAGTTTTTGTTCAGATACTCAGTAAGTGAGGAAACTTTTCGAGTACTTCTCAAATACTTGCATCAAGTACATTCCCCAGGAAAACGATTAACAGGTGAGAAGCAGAAACTTAATGAAAGTGATGATAGTTTTAGTGACAGCGAAAATTATCAGTCTTAAGAAAAACCGCCTTTTTGTTTCTATTTTTGTCATAAATGCTCAGTAGATTGAGATACAGATTTCCTTTTTCTGTTTCTGTATTGAATGAAAAAGTAGAATTTATCTGAAAGAAAAATACGACCTTAGAAGACGATCCTGTCACGCAGGATTGAAACGCGTCTCGAACTCAAAAAAAGCTTTACGGAATCGAGATCGGGTTAAATCCACAGGGGTTCAGTTAGAAGAGCAAAAATATAAAGTCTAAGTATAATAAACATACAATTTTTTATCATACCAACTAACATTACCATTGATTCAGGTTGAATAATTCTTCTTACTTACAAGAGATCTTCTTCTTTGCCAGATGAAACATCTAGAAAGAGCTCATTTGCAAACATGCTGCATAGAATCGGGTCGGTGTCAGAGGAGAGAAGATTGTTAATATTTTGCTGGTGAAATCGTATATCTTCATTTGCTGTTTTCGATCCGTTAGCTAAGGTTTGAATCAGTCAAGTAGACAATGATGCCGACAAAAGCTAATCTTTGGAGTAGAACAGAGTGGCTCAGATGATCAAATGCCTTTGATAATTAAAAACTGTTACAACAGAATATCACTTACTGCGGAATTTGCTACTGGCATTTTCGTGTTGTCGATCTAACAAACTGAGTGAGATATACGAAATGACAGGATGAAATCAAAATCGATTAGAATTAAGGATATTGAACGACAAAAGGACCAGAGTGAGATGATAGAATTTTGTGCGTGCCTATGTCAAACTAAACCATATCACATGTTCAACATAACGTTAGAGTAGCAGCTAAAGTTCTTTCATCATGGTGAACGTTTATTCACATGTTAAACTTTTATATTCATTGTACTAGCAAATCTTAGTTTGTATTGTCCTGAAGCATTGAAACATTTATTATAAAATGTTTTTCTCTGTTTTAAATATTTTCTAAACTAAAATATCATAGCCCAGATGTGTATAACAAGTCAAACAGATACGATAATTTTGTTTTAATTTATTTTAAAAATTAAAAAACCAATGTCAGCATAAATGCGTAATGTCTCATTAAAGTCAAAAAAAACTCTACATCACAATTATTTTGTTCTTGAATAATGAAGAGCAAAATAATCGATCATATATTGTAGAATCTACTATTGATCAACATGATTTTAAACAACAACTCAAGCACGCATTAATTCACTCAAAGAACGAAATTCGCTTGCAAAAAGCAAAAGCAAAAGGAACATGTTCATATCTGACTGAAGAGATTAGAAAAAATTCTAGTAAGTGTGTGTATATGAAATCAAGTTCCTGCTGATTCTTACGCATAAAGAACGGGTCTACTCGCTAATATACGAGACAAAAATATAAAATTTGCACAGTATTTGTTAGATACGAGGTTAGACAGTCTAAGCTCCATTAATGATTAAAAAAAACATGACTAGTATTCAATGTATGTGGTCACACACACACGCGTGGAAGTGATTGTGAAGAACGACGACGACACCAACAATCTTTAAAAAATGAACATATTGTACTAAATGGTATAGATCCACAATTGCCAACGGGGCCCATAATAGCACATAACGGTAGAAAGAAAAATGTTGCAAATACATAACTCGTTAACATGATTGTCATTAAAAATTGACCCATTTGTCTAAATGATGATAGACTAGATAATGTCATGCTAAAACCAGCGGCGAACGTTGTGAAAGCAGCCTAGAACAAACACAATTATATGAGAATTAATTTATCAATTTTTCATTTCTTTTCGTATTTACCATGAACACAGCACTACCAACACGTGCAACAGATTCTTGAACTCTCATTTCACGTTCAGCTTGATGTTCATTAAGTAATTGTCGATAAGTAAATGGAAATTCTTCTAGAAAATGAAATAATGTGTTATCGTGACAAGAAAAGCAGTTATTATTAATTTTACCTGTTGATAAATGTTCAGGTTCCATTTCGAAACAATTGTCAGTCTTATCATTATCATTTGTCGAAAGAGCATTCTTTAACGTTTTATGTGCATAATTTTTTGCTGCAATTTGTCTTACATAGCGAATATCTTTTCCGTTTGTATGTATATAAGCGACACCAAAATGTACTGTAAAATCTACGGATAGTCCAACAGACATGATGACAATAATCGCTTCAATAATTCCTAATTCCCAACCAAATGCAGCAAACATGGCAATACTAACAGCTGAAAATTAAAGAAGATCAAATTTAAGTGACATTTTATCCAACTGATTTGGGTCAGATTTGAGGAGTTGTAGCTTCTCAGATGAAAATGGCTTGATTCAATTCAGGAGTTATAGACTTCAGAAGGGATAAGTCAAGGAGGATTGTTTGAGACATTTTTCTCAGAGTCGGTAACAGCTATAAAGTTCGACTTTGTTTTAAATGAAAATGACAACAACAGACAATAGAAAAGAAATTCAAAATCGACTCAGATGACTTTTTTAGACTTACATTTTGGCTCTCAAATAAGAAAAATTATCAAACTACAGAGTCGTAGCCAGGGGGACGGATTGAGGGACCGGTCCTCCCCCTTGACTTTTAAAAAAATGATTTTTTTCCACTGAATTCTGTCAGAAAAAGTTGCTAGTTGATAATATTTCACACTATCTCTGAAGGCAGAAAAGTCGATCCTCCCCTTCACAAAAATCCTGGCTCCGGGTCTGTCGGACTATGCAGTACCGCTTCTGAGAAAAAAAATTCTTATGTAGCAATCTTAGTATCAAAACTAATAACGAGAAAACAAGATGTTTATCCAATGATGGATGTATTCTAAGACTTCTTAAAAAATGCTTATAGCTGTCAAAGACGAGGTGACACAGACTTGCATCATGTTTTATTTTAAATAGAATAGGTTGACCTACAAATCTACGTATTCAAAACTAGAATCGATGCAGTATATATAATGGAACCGATAGTAAATTTTAAAAATCTTCTTTCTTGAAGCTTTTAGAAACTTTAAAAAACTTTTCATCCAAACACAATTTTAGATAACAATACAGAAAATTCTGTAAGAGAATATTTCAAGCTCTTTATCCATGGAAAAGAACTCCGAATCGATCATGAATAAAAAAATCAAATATCTGAGGACGTAAAAGAGACTCTTAACGGTACACATACCAATAGCAAATGTGATAGTTACTAATGCATAAAAAGCGATAAATAAATTTCCACTTGTTAAAAATAATACTAATAATGCTATTCCTAAGGAGGCCACCAACGATGAATAAGAACCTACTAAGAGTTCTCGTTGTACGCCATAAAATGCGAAACCAGGACTAGAAAACCAAGCATGTTTCAAATGTTCGGGTGCATAATTTTCTAAAAGTATATGACACAATATATTTAACTAAAAAAAAAACCAAAATTAACAAGAAAAACTTACTTATATATGGATCAAAAAAATTTTTAATTCGAAAATAATAATCATTGTATGAATCATAATCAGTTTGATTCAAATTACCTAAAACAAAACAAAAAATTCACTTTATTCTACTCTTCTTTTGAATATGACTCTACATACCACGTATAGTTATTATAACAGCAAATGGTCGAATATTATTATTTTCTAATTTTTCTGGTAAAACAGCCCAATTAATTGATCGTCGATAATTTATTTGTCTTTCACAAAACTCTGGTGGAACATTATTTAAACCGGCTTCACCTGATAAACAGGAAAATGCTGTTTTTAATGCATTATTTTGATGTTCTTCAACTTCTTGATCACGATATGATTTTGTTAAACTATTTTTTAATTGATCTTGATTATACATTGATTTTAATTGATCTTTGTAATGTTCTTGTAATGTTTTATTGAAATTTTTACGATATCGTCTATAATTAATTATATTTTTATTAATTAATTCATTTATACTTTGTATAACAACATTTTTATCGATTGTATCATTTTCAATATTAATATAATCTTCATCATCCGAAAAATCATCTTTAAATTGATAATTAATACCACGAATCGTTTTATTTACTAATACTCGAATAATATTTATGTCAGACTGTGCTAAAAATTTGATCATTTGTTCATAGGTAGTTGATGACATGTTCAATTTTGCTTTATCATCGGCAGCTTTGGTAATGAGTATTTCATCGCTAGCCAATGATAAAAATTGTTTAAAATCTTGTTCTAAATCATAGTTTGAACTAAATAAATCTGTTCTTGTACCTAATATAGCGGTAAAATTTTTAAAAAATTCCAATGTATTATTATGATTTAAATATAACGGTTTTAAATGTAATTTTCCTCCTAGAAAAATTGAATATAAAATATTTTGTTAGAACAATGTTAGTTATAGTACATAATAATAGGGATGTTACAAGCCTTGAGACCTTGCATTAAAGATTACATATTCTCATTACTCAAAACCCCCAAGCTCTACCGAACTTTTGTTTCAGATGTAACCAGTTTTCTGTACTGTATCCAAAACTAGTGCTAGGATCGGTTAAAATCAATAAAAAAAATACCAGGTTTGGTAACGCTTGTTAAAAAATACAGATAAAGGTCAATTTTCACCAAGCTTTACCAAGCTCGGTATTTTTTTTATCGATTTTAATCGGTCCTAGCACTAGTTTCGGATACAGTACAGAAAACTGGTTACATCTGAAACAAAAGTTCGGTAGAGCTTGGGGTATTTTGAGTAATGAGAATATGTAATTTTTGATACAAGGTCTCAAGGCTTGTAACAACCCTAAATAATAATGTGATACACAACATTAAACATTACTATCTTTTGAATGACTTTATGTTTTTGTTCATATGTGAAAGAGAGTTCTATCATAGTCTCACAGTTCTCATCATTAACTTTCAATTCGAAAGGATAAATGAGAAAATTATTTTACAGTATACGTACGGTCATTCATATCAAATCTATAACCATCATCACGATCAACAATTCCAAATATAAAACTAATTGATGGATAAGCAAATAAACGTTTTTCCTCTTTACTATGTCCTTCAAATATTTTTTTCATTTGAAATTCATAAATTTCCATTGGATTATCTTTTAGAAAAAAGGTTACTTTTTGTGTTGATGGTACTTTTAATTTTGGATAATGAAAAACGCCTATAATACCTAGAATACCCATGGGTAAAAATAACAGTACAAGTATATAACGAAGGGCAATAATAATTTTTGGAAGTGAATAACAAAATAAATATGTTCGAAATTGATTGAAAGATAATGATATTCGTTTAAATAGTTTTGTTGTTGAATTTGTACTTGGATTAACAGTTATATGTGCCGTACTACGAGATGAAAAACATTTTGATAATTTTGATATTATATCTTGAATATACAATTCGTATATAATACAAAAAGCGGCTATTGCTGTAATAGTAATAATAAAATAGAGTAATATACATGTACCAGTAAATACACCAAATACTTGTACAAATGATATATTTGTTAACATATTAGTGAAAAATGCGGCTGACGTTGTAAAACTGGTAACAAACATTGAACTTGCAGCATGTTTCAACGTTTTACTCATAATTTCTATTAACGCTTCGGAATTCAATAACATTTGTCTTGTTTCTTCTGGATGATGATTATCACTTAATCGATGAGAATAAGATTTTCTTAGTTTAAATTTATTATCAAGAACAGTGTCAATAATTGAACCATTTTTATTTTCTATTGTTAATGGTATTATTTGAGCATTTTTATTTTCATCTTCTTTTCGACGTAACCATTCACGCTTTTCTTGTTCCCATGTATCGAAAAATACAAATATATCATCACATCCTATACCAACTTAACAGAAAGATAGAAAAAGACATTAAAAATCTATTATCTAGTTTTAATTGATAATGAGAGGACTTTTGTAAGAAATGTTACGCTACAATTTACAGCTATATTCATTTTTATTTAGTTAAATTTGAACTTTCAAATCTAGTTTATTTTCGATGATAAATTGTTAATGTTATACATTATGTGTAGAATATATCAGAGTTGTAACCGGTCTGGAAATACTAAACCGGTCCGGTCCGGCCAGTCATCGGCCGGTCTAAAAATATTTCCAGACCGGTAAAAACCGGCGAGTTCATCAAGTTTTTTCAAGCAATAACATTGACATTAGGGACAAAATTTGTAGTGTGTAAATGTAATAGTCTGTCTCAAGCAGTCATTTGTCGAATGACGAAACGTCACGAATAATTTGAAAATAAATTTGGGAAGAGATTCACTATGTCAAATAACAAAGCCAATTAACACGAATTTTGGCTTAGGAAGCTACGGTATCGGCATATTGAAAGTAAAAAATTAGATTAACATTAAAGAAAAAAGATAAAAGCATATAAACGCCAATACGTGACAATGTTCCGATTGCTATGATATTTTAAACAATAAATAATATGACTTTGTCTTTGAAAATAAATTGAAAGAATAAAAAGAAAAAATTTCCATTTCAAATAAAATTGTCACTCGCTCTTTCCTTTAGAAAAACCACTAAGCACCCATACATAGTATTTTTCTGATGAAAAATGAACGAATATGCACAACTTTGTGAAACCGGTAAAAACCGGTGAAAACCGGCTGGACCGGACCGGTTACAACTCTGGAATATATAGTAAAACACATTTGTAGAAAATTCTTTTCACTGATACTGAAATTTTTTTTCTACTCTGTAGGCTATCTTTGTTTGTCAACCGCTGATGACATACAAGTGATCAGTGAGTAAGATGCAAGGGACGAGAAGAGAAAATCAGAAATAAAAATTGATGAAAAAATTTACGTAAGTTTCTAATACTCAATATCTGAACCAAAATTAACACAAATGTACAAATTAATTTACAACCTATAATGGAACTGTTTTTCTACAATGATAAATCTCATTTCTTTCTCCTTTTTGTTAAAATATAAACGATAGTTAGTAGATTTAGTATCCTCTGGAAACACATAAAGTGGTACTGACCTATTCGTAACATTAAGCTGTGATGAACTTGTACGGATAGCTAAAGATTCTCTTTCTAGCAATAGATGAGGGATGTAATCTCATACTACTATCCGTTCATAAAACGAATGATCCCCGGCATTTTTTGAATAACTTTTTAACAGAAAGAGCTAGAACGATGTGGTTTTTGCTATTGGATAGAGGAGCTGATCAGATGCGATTTACTATGCTGAACCTTTCAAAACAAAGTTCGGAAGCTGTCCACTTTACAGAACAAACAGAATTTTTAATTTCAAAATGTTGATTCTATCCTCTGAAGCGTGCTCTTTAAAGCCGCACAAGTCTCGTCCTCTATCTATTTTGGTTCGAGAGTTACAGGTATTTTCCGACGGCCAGTTTTAGAACCAGTTCTAAAGAGCACACTTCAGAGGATAGAATCAACATTTTGAAATTAAAAATCCTGTTTATTCTCTAAAGTGGACAGCTTCCGAACTTTGTTTTGCAAGATTTAGCATAGTAAACCTCATCTGGAGTCCTGATTTTTCCATAATTTCACTTTCCATCAGCTCTTCTATCCAATAGTGAAAACCACATCGTTCTAGCTCCTTCCGTTAAAAATTTATTCAAAAAATACCGGGGATCATTCGTTTTATGAACGGATAGTAATATTTTAACTTTATCAAAATTAATTGAGTGTCCAATCTGAGATACATATTTACTGAGAGCTAATTTAGGCTTAAACTCAATATGTGTAAGTGTAAAATTCTATTGTTGTATATGATATTTACTTAGAATAAATGCGCTCATGAGATTCATAAATGGAAATATTGGAATACGATAGATAACAGAATAGATAAAATAGGATACTCCAATTGACATTGCACATGATATGATAATGATCAATGCAATAGATACACTTCTCAAATACAATATTGTTATTGCCATAATTAATGCCATTGCAATCAATACCAACAACATATCTAAAGAAGAAAAAGAAAATGAGTATATCTCAAAACAATCATATTTTCACACTAACCTTCACTTATTCTTGACATAGCTGCTCGTTCTCGAACATTGGCAAAATTAAGTGCAACTAATTTTACATGTTCATCTCGGTACGATGGCATTTGTCGTTTGCCAGCAAAATGTTGCTCAAATAATACAATAAGTTCCTTTGATTTGTATATCGGTTCCATAGTTACAAATTCTTTTGTTTGATTTTCACAATGAAATGCACATTCACAATACTGTTTACAATTAATTGGCATTGTTTTTCTTGTAGCATAATTCCATTTATTACATGAACTCACAAGAGCATTATTAACATAATCTTTTAAACATCCTCGATTTAAACAATATGTTCGATCAAAATATAAACGTTTCATACACATTTTATCGTGGACACTTTGATTTTCTAATTTTGATTGATAATTTGTAATATAAATCATTGTTGATGCCACTTTTGGATATTTATCAGTTGTCTTATTATAATCGTCGTATAAATTTCTAATCCAATCTCTATCGACAAAATGATCGAATATAAATCGTGTATAATTTCGATAGAAACATGTATGTCTCAGAGCTGCATACAATGATTTTGTTTGTTCTTGATGTGTAATGCCTTCATCTCGTTTTGTTGCCACTCGATTTAAAAAATTATCACTTAAAAATTCCATATAACCATTTATATAATAGGGTACACATGTTGTTAATATTTGACGAAAACGTTGAATATCATCCAAGGTTAAACTATGACAATTTGTTTTGTTATTATACAATGCCACTAATCTTGCTAAACTAAGACTTTTAACATTGTCTAAATTTAATAATTTTTTAAAGCGTTCTTCCCATGAACAAATTGAATATAAAATGGGTAATGTTAAAATATCATCATCAGAATTCACTCGTTCCATAAAAAATTCAATCATTCCATCACGACCTATTTGACCACGATATTGTTCATCGAGTAAAAATACATACGATTTTAATAGATCAAATGGTAAACGAGTTTCAAATTGTGGCAAATTTCTAACTAATTCATCTACCGTAATATTGACACTAAAATATATAAAATAAAACTATATTTATCTATCATTGATGTTCGAATAATCAACATTACTGTGGATAAACTGTTCTGAATTATGTGATCAAACGTCGTACTACTTACGTTTTATCATCAACATATTTGATGATTCGATCGTACACTCCATAATGTCGCTCTTTATTCCACGTGTACAATGATGTGTCCGAATAATCTGGTGTCTCACCAGATTCATCAGCATGTTCTTCATAAAACATTTCACTAACAAGATTATAATCTTTATCCTTCCACATATCATTTTTAGCTAATATTGTTGAATTATAACTTTCATGTTTGATCATCGATGTTGTAATTTTTTCAAATTGTTCGGTAGGATCGAATAATTCATATTTTTCCAATGGTAAATCGTAGGCAAGACGAAATTTTTCTGATGCATGACGTAATACCATCAATTGACTAAAAATTGTTTTCGGTCCTCTTGCACCCCATCCCTAAAGATATATTTTTATTTGTATTCAAGGAAAAAAAAACTATCATGAACATACATAGATTTTTGCGACTGTATGAAATTTCATAGACCAACATTACTCAGTCGTAAAAATATATTACACTATTAATAAGTTATTTTCAAAGAAAAAAATAATATTAAAATATGTTACCTTTCTTGGATCGCTAAAATCTGGTACTTTTGATATACCTAATCCAATTATTGTCAATATAAAACATATAAAACATACGAGTCCGAGTACAAGCCAATGTTTATGTACGAGTAATTTCGAATAACTATAAATAAAATGAACCATTCTTCATTTTCAAAAAATTATATAAATAAATATAAAATCAATCATCTGTATGATATATATTGATTTCCCATCGTTTTTTTATAATAATCATTTCGCGCTTATATGAAATATTTGTGTACTAAATCATATGACGACCACTATTTAATTAGAAAGAGAACGAAAAAAAAGTGAACATATGATTTTCTCTATTATATTTATAACACACATATTGTATAAAACACATGATATTCGTTAAAATAGTACAGAATGCAGGGTTGGGCGAGTCCCAGTCCGGATTGGAAGATTTTTTTGAAAGACTCGGGCTTGAACTTGTATTTTTGTATGTCAAGTCCAATTGATTCAACTTTTAAGATAAATGAACAGAGAAATTTGCATTTTTTTCAATATTAGTATAGGATATATAGAGACGCACATGTGTTACTCTCTTTAAAAATATACTATACAGCACAGGAGAAAAAAAAAATTTAAATAACGACAACGAAAAAAGTTAGTTTGAAAAAATTATTGGACTTGAAACGAACTAAGAACTCGAAATCGCGCTTGCATTTCAAGGTGTACCCGGTGTACTCGCTTCGTGACTTGGCCTTTTGCTCGGACTCGTCAAAGCGTGACAGAATGATTTTGAAAGCAGAATGACCTTAATCTTTTTCTGAATAACTTTTTACCAAATAAAAATCAAGTAGAGAGCTGAAATTTGCACCATGCGATAGAGAAGAATGGAGGATCCTTCAACAGAAGAAACCAGTTTAAAAATATTATTTGTGAGTGAATTTTATAGAGGATCTTTGAAAAAACAGGCTATAAAGGAGGTTTTGACAGTTCTTCCTTGTAAGATATACTCTTTCATATCTACTGAACTTGATTCTGCAGTTAAGATTAGAATATAGTCAGCAGGACGGGATGATCGATAACTTCGTTTATGAGATTAATAATAGAATAGCGGTCCTGGAGCTTCCATGCTACACACAAACGATAAAAAGTCAAGAGCTCCTTTAACTCCCAGTTTTAAAAGCACTTTCAGCTGTTCATTCATGTAATATTCCTATTTAACACTAGAACGCCTGTAGCGGTCATTTTGACCGTTTTTTGATTTTTATCCCTAATAAAACAAACTGCCAACAATTTATTTAAAAATAAATTATGTCATAACTTTTAATTTGTCCCGCAAAAATTATTTTTTGCAGAATTTTTAATTCATTTTTTAATTCAGAACCTCTTTTAATTATAAAATTTTAAGAAAAAACCGTAACGGTCAAATTGACCGTTATCGGCGTTCTTGGTCATGAAAATTTCTGGGCATTCCAGTGTTAAAGTTCTACACTTCATTCCCTACAAAAATTCACTCACAAATAATATCTTTAAACTGGTTTCTTCTATTGAAGGATCATCCACCCTCCTCTATCTACTGGTGAAAATTTCAGCTCTCGAACTGATTTGTATTTAGCTAAAAGTTATTCAAAAAACACTTGAGGTCATTCAGTTCTTGAAAGAAGCATACGGTAGACAACGTCTTACATCATTGCATAACCATATACAAGTAGGTATAGCGACTTACGTTTTGAAGTCTAGTGTCCGCCTAAGTTTTTGAGTTTGAGCGTCTTCGATTCGTACAAAATTGGTTCAGTGTTTTTCAACAGTTTGATTGATTTCGTTTTGCCTGCATTCTTGAAAAGTAAAAAGCTTAATTCAGCGAGATCTAATAA